TGTCGGAAATGCTGTGGCATTGATATTCACTGTAGCTCATGAAGATACTGCAGAACTACAGCTGGTTCATAAAAAGGTAATGAAAATGACCAAAGAAATTGAAAAAAGAATAGGGATTGCTCATCTTTAATAGGACAAACATGCAAGATAGTAAATGCATTAGATTTCCCTTAGACCATCTTGCCCTATTTCACAACATGTAGAACAAGAGGCCTTCCATAAAATTAAAGGGTGTTAAATTCAAAATAAAATCAGAGAGCACTTATTAAATTGTGGAAGTCCTTGCTTCATGATACCATTGAAGCCAAGAAATTAACAAGGTTTTAAAAGGGACTGGATAATTATATATTTAACAAGATTATCCAGAGTAGCTATAATTGCCATCAACATTTTTGGAAGGGATATGAAACCACATGTTTCAGGATTAAAACCAGCCTCTCACTAAGAGAGATCAGGATAAACTCTAATGTTGGGGTGGGGCAGGGAAAGGGTTATCCCCTCCTAGCTTACTGTGGTTATCCTCCAGGTACCAGCTCCTTTCAGATACTGGCCTAAATGGGCCTCCAGCCCTATTCAGGATGGCAACTTCGAGACTTGGAAGCCCTGGGGCAAGGCATGAGACTTGTGTAGCTCTCAGAGCCAAGCAATTCTGTGTTGTTCATATTGTGGTCACACTTAGAGACCTGGATTAAAAAACAGCTCTTGGTGTACTAAGTGGTCGACGTAGGCATAGGAAGAAATAGCCCTGGTCTCTCAGTTTATAGTTTAGATAGACAAAGTTAGGAGACCGAGCATGACTGCTGTTCCTATTTGCCAAGTGACACAGAAGCTGAGAGACAGATGAAGTAATAGGCTTGTGGACACAAAGCAAGTTTGTGGCCGAAGTGAGAACCAACCCAGCCCTCCTGAATCCAATCCAGTTTCTTGACTCCAAGCCAAGCCTTCCTCACATTCTTCCCAAACTGCAGTTTATCTTAAAATAATTTTTTTTTTTTTTTGAGATCCCAAACAAATCTCTGCCTTCCGCAGAAAAGAGGAGGGGTGGAGGCTCTGGCATCAAGCTTGCCAAAGATTATGGAATGAAGTACAGACTTGGTGGTTCGCTTTCTAAAAGAGTGTGGATGAGAAACAAACTTGAATGGGCAAGGTGACAAGTGCCGTGGGAGGAAATTGCATTGAAGACTACAACCGTATATTTTAATTAAGATCAACACCTCTTGTAAAGTTTAAGTTATGCAATCTCACAAGGATTTTTTTTTCTTGTCACTTACAATACTAGGCAATTTATCCGCAGTCTCAAGAAAAAGTTACTTCCTTTCTAATACCTATCAGACTGTATATAGTGCATCTGCATTTTGGCATATAAAACCACCATCTGCACCAAATCAAAAATGACATACTTTCAGCTGCAGCTGAGAGTTAGCTGTTCTCTCTTATTTTCTTCCACCTTTTACACCTTGTGACTGGCATTGTGCTTTTCAACATTTGCAATCCGGGCCTGTCTCCAGCTGAATTCACCTGCTTTAAATTTTCTGAGCCCTAATAAAAAAGGCCTGCAGACACGTTTGCTCCAAGTGTGCAACCATTTAGGGGTGGTAATGAGTTGGACTGCAGCCTGGTATCTGGCAGAGCTTCCTATTCATGACTCACTGTTAATTAAAACCACACTCTGCTTATTCCTGGGATAGTGTTACTTACAAATAATTGAGAGTCTCTCACTGCCTTCCAATCTCCTCCCCCCAGTTCTGTTCTTTTGAATACACTTTTCCGATGGAGATCTGTTTCCCTTAAAGTTGGATGCAGTGTAATGAAGGAGGACACCCACTTTTTAATGCATCCTTCCTGTCCTTAATTTGGGTTTCCTCATTTTGAGTTGTAGCTTAATCCATGAACAGCCCGATCCATATCGCTGTACAGCTGGTTATTCTAGAGGCTAGGAGAGAATACAGCATATGATGGAGTACCATGTACGGCTACTCAATTCAGCCGTTTTTTCAGCATACGCAGTTAAAAACTGAGATTTGATGGGTTGACACAGAGCTATGAAAACGTTAGTTTTACAAATATCACAACAGTTATCTGATACGTTTTCTTAAAGGTAAATTTTGGGAGGAGTAGCTACACTAACTTTTTTTTTTTAATTTAGCCTATTTCCATAGCATTTCATGCCCTCCCAGAGCAAAGAGATCTGAGAACTGTTCTGTGTAAATAATTTCATGTAAAAAAGTAAAGTTGTAAGGCAAATTCTGTGCTTTTGCCTGCACGTCAGAATGCAGACTTTTTGATTTACGGAGCCATCTCTGGCTAAGTATCTAGCAATCTGAAAGGCCACCTCTCTCCTGGCCCTGCCAGCCCTGTTCAGATCAGCTGACGCTTTCTTAACAAAATCTCATACCATGAATTTCTGATGAACTGGAAGCAGGGACTCTCAGCAAAACCTCTTCAGCTCTGGAATTTGCTACAGGGCTGGTCTAGTACACCCAGGACTGTACCCCTTGGAGGCACAGCACCAAGCTCAACACTTGCACTTTGTCTGCAACTCATTTCATGCTTTCTAAATCAATGGAGTTAACAGCATCAGTAGAAAGCCAGATCAATGCACAGCCACAGACATGAGTCAGCTAATCCAGAAGTTAAAAGAACTGGTTGCTTACTTAGTTTTCCCGTTCTCATCGGACTCTACCAAAGAACTGAAAATTATCACATAAAACCCAGAGAGTGTGGACTCACTTCAGACCATGCAAATATTCTCAGACACTCACTTGCATGCTCTGCATATGCATTAGGTTCCTTACAGTCAGTCCTGCCAAGTATATATTCCTAGCAGATTTAGCTGCTTCTGCAGCCTCCTCCTAACTAGCAGAAATGATTCCAGGATGTTATGTGCAGACACCTACAAAGTGACAGCTGAAGTTTGGAGAAATATGTTTAATAGATATTTAATTTTCCACTCTCCACTCCATCTTTAAAAAATAAGAAGGTTATTCTAATGTAAATCCATCATTTCAGTCACGAAGGTATCAAAATTCCTTAAAGCAGTGGGGATCGCCTCACCTGACAGGAACAATTATCCCTTAAAAAAAAAAAAAAATCCCTGTGATAGAATTTTTGGTGTCACTGTATCCAAATACAGTTGCTGTGTCCACTAAGTAATCTATAATACACATAGCTTACAAAACATAAATAATATTTACTGAGGTTTGACGTGAAGAGGTAAAATATATTTATGCAGGTTTCCATTTGCCAATACATATATTTCTTTTCAGTCAAAATTTTCTCTTTCCTCTCCCCCACACTCTTTTTTTGTGCAATATTCTGGCACATGTGGATTGCCTTGCAGTAGCCAGTCTATGACCAATCCAATTTAAAGCTATGTTCTGTTCTGTGTAATCATTGTTTGTTAGCTCAGTTTTTCTCTGCCTTCCAGACAAATTACTATTTAACCCTCCCTGGAAGCCAGCATCCATCCCCTCCAGGAAACTGTGCTCCCTTCTCCTACCCGGACTTTAGGCTCAGGCCCATCTCCGAAATAAACAAAAAGTGAATATTTAAACATCGTCATTTCGATTCAGAGGAACTGAAGCGTGTCCTTTCACTTTTTCTTCTGAGCTTCTGCCATCAGAGTACTCCTGTTTTATGCAGCATGGACAAACACATTTTCTATCCAGGAGATAGTTTCAAAGAAATCTGTCAGGACTCATACTGGTAAAATGTAACTCTTTCTTAAGACAGAGTGAACACAAAACGTGCCTATGGGCATGTTCCCGAGCCGCACTTCTTAATACTTAAAATGTCACCCCTTACAGATACATCTGCAGATTCTTGCCTGCTGATAAATCTGTTTTGCACTGCTTCAACAATAAAGCAGATTTAAAATCAATAAAATTGGCTTCCAGGAGACACAACACAACCTTCCGTATTCTGATCAGGCTGAGGCCAAAAAGAGGATGTGCAGTTAAAAGCTGCAATCTTCAGGCAATCCTCAGCTGCCAAAAAGCCCATGAGAGTTACAAGCAACTGAGCAGAAAACACAGCCCTGTACTAATCTTTCTTGTGCTAGAAACTCAAGCAGCTTCTGGCATTACTACAATCTAGATAACACGCAGGGAGATTTTTTTTTGCCCCTTCTGCAGTAGCAACAAAATGGGCAGATGATCCTCCCAAATACTTAACACACTCCTACTTGTAATTTCTATTTGAAATGAGCAAGCTGTAACTGTTGCCGCGAAAAATATAGTTTTGAAAGGAAAGAAAAGAACGTTCCCTCCATACGTAAAACAAGACAGAAAATGAGACCCAAGGCATGTGAAACAGTCTGATAAGAAACATGCTGAGATTCATAGTGGCAATTCTTCACCACCCTGGGCTAAGTCCCCACTGTGGCTTTTTGTATTATAAAATTGTTTCCCTCTTTCTGTGGAATTTTCTGCATTCATTATCTCTGCCATTCTTCTTCCCACTAGTAAAATATACAGCAAAGACACCAACACTTCCAGCGAAGCCATTCACAAAAACTGTCAACAAGCTTATTCAGCTGTTTGTGTAACCACAGTTTTAGATACCTCCTCCCATGAACATAACACATGGTCTCTCTTCTCTTCTCTTTAATACTCACTTATGATAATTACTCAGATGCTGCTGTTATTCTTGGATACCAAGTTTGGAAATACAGATGGTAGCTAAGAAACTGAGCAATGTCTGCAAAAAACCAATCTTGTCAGATTTAACCAGCAGCTCTGGTTAAGAAACCATTTGTGATTGACTATCACGTGTTAACTCGAAATCATTCAAAACATTCAGCTTCATATCTATCTATCTGCTTTGTTTTTTTCAGGACAGTAACAATAGAAGCTTTTCCACTTTAAAACCAGCTATTTAGCTTTCGGAAAGCACATTCACTTCTCAACACATCCAGTGCTCATGAAACTATTTCAAGATACAACTCAGACAGGAACACCAAAGCTCACTATTAGCTACAGATAGAAATGTGCATTTGATACCATTTCCTCATTTTCAAATTGCATGTTGTACTGCGCTGCATCCTCGGTTATTGGCTTCTGAACAATGTTGCGGCAGACGAGCCATATTGCCAGACTAGCAATGAACATCCCAATATCTGGTACAAATAGTCTGATCACGTTGCCAGCATCAGCTCCTTTCACACTGTATGGGATGAAAAAAAAAAAAAAAAAAACAAATGAAACATTTGTTACTTCTATGTCATTACCACCCGGAACAGAAAGTAAGCTCAAAGAAAAAAATACGAAAAATCCAGTAGCAAGGAAAACTCTGAAGCACTGGACACATGAAAATGATGAAGGAACTCTAGTCAGCCAGCCAGCTGTACTATCCAGAGGTACAGAATAAATGATTATTCAATGGGAGCTCACACACTCATATTTTAGTGATATTTAGCATTTAATTAACTAAATTCTGAAAGGATTTTGTGGAGAGCAACACAGGAACGACCTTTATGTGCAACAAGAAAGATTTCAGTTGAGTTCCTAGAAGATACATGTGTGCAAATCACAATCCCTTCACTGGGATCCCTGGCAAAGACAACGGCGTACAGTTCTACAAAGGAGGTCAGGCACAGACAGCCTAGAATTTGTGTTACCCCAGAGAGATGTGCTCCCTTGTCCCCTACTCACTTCTGGCCCACAGAGGAATAACCAAATGTAGCGCTGGTGCAGCGCTGTGCCTGTTCCATGAAAAACGAGCACCCTCCTTCCTCTGCCGAGCCACTTTCAAGAGCCTTGGACTGACTTGAAAAATAAAAAGTGTCTTTAGTAAAAAGTGTAATGTTTTGATAATATATTTTATCCAACCAGATCTCTTAAATATCTTTTGAAATTTAAATACTAGTTAAAGTGTTAGGTCCCAGCCTAGAAAACCTTCTCCTCCCAAAGGGATGTAAGGTTGGCTCAATTTTACGTAGAGAAGAAACTGCACAACTTTGTTGTGCCTATTCAGCTGTTTAGGCGGGGAAACACAACCGCATGTGGTGTCTGAATTTGGTTCGCTGTTAAAGCAGTGAGCTTGGATTCAGAATTAGTGGCACAAGGAACAGTTTATTAAGCTGCTGCTTCATGGACTTGCTGAACTTTTAGCTATTAATGAGAGGATATAATCCTAATTACTTGAAAGTGTACAGCATATAGCTGCCAAACATGAAGTTAACACATCTTAAATATGCAGTTCTGATTTTAACAGAGCTTTTAAGGGTTTTATGCCTATAACCACTTCTGAGGACAGGTGAGGAAACTGTACAGCTCCCTAGGCATAGGTAAGTGGCCTAGACTACCTCTTTACACCTTGAACCGGTAAGAAGAAATCCTTGATAGGTTGTTCTACAGATACAAAAGAAGGTATCATCTCTGGCCTTTCTTTATCACAACACTAGCAGCTTTGAAGCCTAAAAAAAGATATTTGTGAAAGAGCTACCTGCAACTGTTGCTTATCTGCAGCCTGCCAGCAGATTTGGAGAAACAAAAAAGTCTCTAATGTGATTAGATTATGACCGCTGGCAGGAATCTTGTTGGTCTGCTCCTACGTCCAAGATCAAATCCTACATTTCTCATTTTGCCACCAGTGCTGCTGACCCAAATTTTCCACTGCCGTACATCTTGCAAAATAAAATATGTCCAAATAACACAGGAATAAAGTAAGTGGCAAGAAGTCTAGTTTTAATGACTGTTTGAAGGGCTACAAATGACTGTGTCATGGGGAACCAGCAACCAGCTTGCAGCTCTGCAGGACACCACTCTGTAGCATAAGTGTGAAATGGACCCAGAAGTAGCATTGAATTGGCTCAAAACTAGAAAGGGAAAGTTTAAGACCTAATTCTTTTTCTTCCCATGCTCAGAGACAGGCATACAATAAATTGATGAGGTGCTTCCTAAGGAAAGTAAGTTAAGTTTTAAAACTGCCATTCCTTGCAAAAGGGAAGAAAGAAAACGTGCTCAGGCAAACCAGGAAAGTTCCTCCTCTGATGCTCTTTGCTGTTAGGTATTAACCTGAAATGGTCATGCACTACATGGCAGCTAAATAGCTTGTTTTGCGAATGCCTTTCAAGAGTACTGAAGCAGAGAGAAAATGTAAATCATTGAAAGGTTTGTAAAACAGTAAGATGGCTATATGGCTGCTAGATTGCTTGCATGTTTCCTGTACTGCTGCTTCAAGGAAAGCATGCGGTAGAGTCAACTGGTGTATTACAGTATAGCTGATCTGTTTAACATTACAAAAAATAAAGGCTTGACAAGCGTCAGTTCATTTTGCAGTTCTGTAGCTCTTACTGTCACTGAATATCAGCTAGTCAAGGCACTGAGTTTGCACTTTCCTTTTTGGCAGAAGACAGTAAAAAGTATCTGTTTAACAAACCTAGTTCATGATGACAGCGTATCCAGGATTCACAATAGTAAAAAGGAATTAGTTTCATTTGTCCTGATGGTTATGCTGAAACCTGCCTATAAAAGTTGCTTTTCTAAATACCTGCCGGCAAAGTCTGACATCCTGATTCTGGAAAGTATCACTTAGGCATTTTTATTAGAAAGAATTCAAAAAAACTCAGTCCAGTGTTAGTGTACAATGCGTACGAATTTGCTAGTCTCATATTGAGAAACGGATCTGTTTACTTCTATGTAATACTTCTAGAAATGAGATTTTTCTATATACAGGCACAGAGACCTATCTAGAATCAGTTCTGCATCACATCTGAGCTGAAAGCACAAGTGGATTCAACCATTCACACGTGAACAAATCAAAAACATGGTAGCCTTCAAATGTCAGCTCCTTCCTTGCATTGCACTCCCATGGCACCACGCTGTGCCTTCCCTCTCGTACCCCGTCACAGAGAACAGGGGGAGATCCCGTGCGAACACCGCGTGTGCTGCTGCTCACATTTCTTCCCACTAATCCAAACCAAGTGCCTCCCTGATTTTTCAAAATAAATCATTAAATATGATGTTGTGAAAGATGTAAAGTACCGCTCAGGCTTGCAATAGAGAGCCCGAATAGCGACGCTTAACCACAGAACAGAGGAAAGTTCTGCAGATGAATAGTTTATTCACCAAAACCATTCACAAATGTATGCTGTCCCTGTCTCCCCATGAAAAGGAAAACAAATTGACCGGTGTGATAATTAAAAAGGAAACAAAAGAATACTTGAAAATGGAGAAATGTATATTCTTCTATAAAGCAGAATAATAAACTTCTTCATTTAGCCCCAAGCAATTTGCTCCAAAGTTTTCCACAGCAATAGCTAAAACAAAAAACAGTTATTCTCACTTGTTATCTCTGGCAGAATGAAAAAAGGATAGTAAATACTGCAATCATTCCACAAACTTTTCTCACTTTATTTGCGCATTCACACATGGTCATACTTTGCATTTAATAACAGTCTATGCATTGTGCTCTTTGCTCCAAAAGAGGCTCTCTAATGATGAAATTAAACCAGAAATACAGGAAATCTATTCAGATCTCCTACAGAAACAGCTTCTTTTAATCCCTGCAGGAATCACAGCGTACAATGAATTGGCCATGGCCCTTGAGCTACAACCAGTGTAGCACCATTCCTTCACCTGAACTAAATTTACCTACAGGGCAACTTTTACTTGTAACAGATACTTCTGACAGAAGTTTGTAACTCAACCAGAAACTTGTTCTGAAATGTAATACAGTAAACTGTAGCTTGAGAATCATTTTTCCCTCTTTCGTTCTTTCTTACAGGGTGCAGAAGAAAACAGCATAAGGCCTTTTACAAATTTACACTGAAAGAGGACCAAAAAAAATAAGTTAGGGGTTTGAAATGTTTTTCTACCTTCCCTTGATCAAGTAAAATATATTGCACACAATTTTTAAGACATGTAACTGACTACAGTTAAGGCTTCCAGAGTTCCTCCATAAGAAAAATAAACTTTGTGTGACAAAAGTGATGTTATGACTTTTGCATCACCGTGAAACTGTTACACTATTCTGTTCTATCAACGGTACCCAAATACAGCAGTTTCCTCATCAGGAACAGCAGTCTGTGCTCCCCTGTTGTTTTTAACTGTATACTTTAAATTTAAAATAATTTGGGAAGAGATCATGCTTGTTTTCTGTGTTTATACAGAAATACATTTTCTAGGACTGTGGGACCCTGGCTCCATTTCTGAAGTCCATTGGTGCTAATGAAATTTCTAGGCAAAATTTCCCAGTTTATCTGTACTGAGAATAGAGGTAGCTGAAGACACGCAGGTTACAACTGGTGTTTTACATGACATACGCTCACTAGCAGATGAACAAAAAGCAAATGCCTTGGAGAAGCTAAGTCAGCATAATTTGAGCATTACATTCTTCCTTGATGCTCTAGAAATCAGCATTTGAGTTTTCTGAAAACAAAATTATGATTTTCCCCTTCCAGAATAACCATTTCTCTCAAATTGGAACTATTTTGTGCCCAAAGTTTTGGTGAACAGTGAACATACACACAAGGGCTGATGTTGCCGTGCCTGGTCTGATTCCATTTCTTAGGAAGGGCAGACACATTACCTTCCTCTCTATTTCAGATTCACAGAATAAATACAATAAAGCACCAACGCCATTAGAATTCAAACTGCAATGACTTCAGTAGAAAAAATATAAAACATAAAGTAACATATGAATAAAGCAACATGCATAATAAGATACATAATACTCCATACATAGAATGAAAAAGTAATCTCTGAACTTTATATATTTAAAATTTTATTCAAAAGAAAAAATTTGTAGGAAAAAAGAGCAATAAGTCCCTCTTAAACAGAACGCAAATTAATTCAGTATCAGCAACAAATCACAATACTGAGCTTATGTTAAATGATCAAATCTAACAAAGCCTCCAGATTAAAGAGCTGTAAAAAGCTCCATTTCCTGTTAAATACAGAGTTTAAAAAGTATTTAAAAATTCATATCTATTTTCATCATAGTTTTAAAAATCCCTCTAACATCTTATTCACTGCACATTATACAAAATTCTCTTTGGTTCCCTTAGGGATTTTCTGTAAGAGCTAATTACTTTCTAATGAATTGATTTCATGATACTCCAATTAGGTAACATCATATTTACTGTTTACAGTCAATAAACTAATGGAGAAGCATATATGCTAATACTTTCCATTCCTCTTGCTGGGTCACTTTGAGACATC